GCAGGCAGCTGCCTGCCGTGCAGGGCAGCCCCTTCCACCTCCTCTACTTCAGGTCCATGAAGCGAATGTCCATGATGAGAAGGAAGTTCTTGGGCAGGGGCCGAGGGGCAGGGGAGAGAACGGTGAAGACCTGGCGCTCCAGGTCGACGCCAGTAACAACGATGAAACCAGCCACGCTGGTCTCCGAGATGTTGTCGTCGGGGCTCTGACGCTCAGGAGGTGGTGCACCATGTCCCGCCCCGGCGTCACCGGCACCAGCTTCAGCTGGTTGTCCTCCTGCGACATGCCCAGGGGCAGGCAGGAGTCCGGGATGGTGGGAGCTCCCACCTTGTAGATCTTGACGTCGGAGAACTTGACGTCGAAGGCGTGAGGGTAGAAGCAGCCCCGGAAGCCATAGAAATACTCCCGGATGCGGTCGTCTCGGCACTCCCGCCGGAAGTCCTTGGAGCGCTCCACCACCCCGCCGGACTTGGGGAGCAGGACGGTGCGCACAAAGTGGGGCAGGTCCCTCTTCAGCTCATTGTAGAGCCGCTCCTGGTCCAGCACCACCACCACGTCCACCTCGAAGGCCGAGGCGGCGTGCACTAGCGCCTGGTAGCCCGAGCCCTTCACCCAGCCGCAGGTGTTGATGACGCAGCCGCTCACCGAGGCACGGCGGTTCACTTCGCAGCGCTGGTTGAAGACGTCGGCCAGGCGGGATGTGATCTGTGGGGAAGACAGGGTGGAGGTACCAGGACAGAGATACCTTTTTGGGACACTCGCATCCCCAAACCTCAGCCGGCTCTCTCCAACACCATCCCCACCTCCCTCAATACCCCCAAAGCCTCAATTCCCACAGCAGGACCACACTGGCTCTGACTGGGTGAGAAGCTCAGGGGAGCGAGCGGGCAGACACTAACGGCGTCAGGAGGGCAGCAGGCTGGCGTGCTGGGCCTTGTCCCACTCCCTGGACACACAGCGATCCTCCGTACTGTTCCTAACACGCTGGGTTATTTACTGCTGAGGCGCAGGCGCACTGCCCAGCTCCTGGGCAGCCACCTGGGACAAAATCCTTTCTTCCCAACCCTCAATGGACAGCTATAAAGGGGTGATTTGGGGTGCAGGAGGCTGAAGCTGTGCCTATGCCTAAAATGTGTTAAGAGCACTTAAGGGTGCTCCACTATAGCAGGAGAGACGCTTTCTGTCCTGAGGGCTGCCAGGACAAGGGCAGTGCAGGGCTGCAGCGGCCTTCAGCCAAGCAGCAGCCTCTGTCACCAAACAGCAGCGGTGAGAGGACCCTGGGGATTCAGGTCAGCTTTTTGGGAATCTTCAGATTTTTCTTGGGTTTCTTTCCACCCAGATTTCCATAAACAAGGGAGCCAGGCGGTGGGCAGCAGGAAGGGGGGGGTCCCTGCAGGGGAGGGACACTGTACGGTGACAGCCACCAGGCTCTGGCTAACGCTGGCTCCGTGCGAGAGTGATCAGACCGTGCCCGCAGCTGCGCTCTGCTCCCCTCTCACCTAACGGGCGCCTGGGCTGAGCTGGCTCCATGACCCATGGCTCTGGCTTTGATCCCCACGGCCAGCCACGACACGCAGTCTGTGACAGGCCCAGCCTCGGGGTTCATGGGCAGTGAAAAGCTCAATCGTGGTCCCTCAGCTCCTCCTGGAGAGCTCGGGATGAAGAGCTTCTCCCCTCCTCAGGAGCCTCCTCCATCATCTCCGTTATGCTCTCCCCTCACCACCTTGGCCCTCCCTACGTCTCTGTAGAGCTGCAACACCCAGAAGTGGGCACAGTGCATGGGGTGGGGGCGCGACACAGTCTTACACAGTGCCAGAAGGAATGGGACAATCCCCGGTGAGCAGAGAGCTCTGGAACCCAGCTCCAAACCGGGCCCGTCCCTGGGGCGAGACCCCCTCCACGGGCTCCCCACACTCACCTTATTGTAGAGCTTGATGTTGGTGCCAGGTGTGGTGGAGCCGAAGTGGTAGACGAGAGGGGCCTGGAGGGAAAAGCCCTCCTCCACGTCGGCCGGCCGCTCGATGTAGAGAGCGCCCATGGTGCCGGGGATGGAGACGGAGCCCTGGCCCACGTCCAGCTCCACAAAGGTGGGCCGGCGCCCCAGGCGCACAGCGTAGTTCAGCAGCAGGCGGCACACGGTCGACTTACCCA